AGAAAGAAAGAAAGAAAGAAAGAAAGAAAGAAAGAAAGAAAGAAAGAGCAGATCCCTCAGGGACATCAACAGAACAGGGCATAATATAATACCTTACATTAAAACTAGGCACAAATCCTCATCTCAAAGTTGGAAAAAGCAACCCAGTAGGAGGAAAAGCGTCCCAAGCACAGGCAAAAAAGTAAGAGACACCCACACTCTCACTGCTGGGAGTTTCACAGGAACACTGAGCTACATAACCATAACATATATGCAGAGCACCTTATCTCAGATCCATACAGGGTCTGTGTCTGTCACTCCATGAGCCCCTACGAGCCCTGCTTAGTTAGTCCTGTTGGCTGTGTTCCTCTGGTGTCCTCTACCATCTGACTTCCATTATTCTTCCTCCCACTCTTCTGCAGGGTTTCCCTGGCACAACTTAATGTTTGGCTGTGGGCCTCTGCATCTGCTCCCATAAGTTGCTGGTTAATTCCTCTCTTATGACAATTGCATTAGGCACCAATCTATGAGTATAGCAGAATTACATTAGGAACTGTTGACTCTTTTTTTTTTTTTCTGGCTAGTCGTGTTTGATTTTATCCTGGGTCTCTGAGCTGTCCTGCCTCTGGTTCCTGGAAATCCAGGCAGTGTCAGATGTGAATTCTCATGGTGTAGGCCTCAAGTTCTCAAATTGGACCAGTCATTGGCTGTCAGTTCCCACAAGTTCTGTGCCATCATTACCCTAGCACATCTTGCAGGCAGGACAGATTATAGGTTGAAGGTTTGTGGCTGGCTGATGACTCAGTCCCACTGCTAGGATCCCTACATGGCTATAAAAGATGGGCAGTTTGGACTCTGTGTCCCCCATTACTCGAAGGTTTTGTGAGAGTCATCCTTGTAGATTCCAGTGAGTTTCCACAGTACTAGCTTTCTACATCACACCCAAAAGCCCCCCCTTTCCAGTCATCTCTTCCAGCTCTCTCTTTTTCTCTCTCACCATCCCTACACCTCCTGTATAATCACTCCTGTTCACATTCCCACCTGCCCTCAGTCCACCTGCAAAATCTATTCTATTTTCCCTTACCAGGGAAATACATGTGTTCCCCCTTGATACTTTCTCTCTGAGTCGGTGGGTTACTTATAAGTAAGTATATAACCACGTTTGTCTTTCTGGGTCTCGATAACCTCACCCAGGATTATCCTTTCTAGTTCCATCCATCTGCCTGCAAATTTCAGGGTGTCATTGCTGTTAACAGCTGAATCATATTTCGCTGTGTAAATACACCGAATTATTTTATCCACCTTTCTGTTGAGGGACAACTAGGTTGTTTCCAGTTTCTGGTTTTTATGAACAAAGCTGCAATGAACATGGTTGAGCAAATGTCCTTGAGGTAGGATGGAGCGTCCTTTGGGTATATGCTTAAGAGTGATCTAGCTGGATTTGAGGTAGATCAATTCCTCATTTTCTGGGGAACCGCCATATTAATTTACAGTGGCTGTACAAGTTTGCACCACCACTAGGAATGGAGGAGTGCTTACTGCATCTCCTAGCCAGCATCAGCTGTCACTTGTGGTTTTGATATTAGCCATTCTGACAGTTGTAAGATGTGTTGAGATAATCTTTTTGTGCAGTCTCTGTATTATCCAAACGGTGACTTCTGTACCAGCACAGAGCTGAGTACTGTCCAGACTTTGGTACTGTTATTTTTGTGAGGCATCACATGTCTCAGTGTTTTGTAAACACACTTCCCTCACCTTCTGATTGGTTTTAAAAAGAGCTGTCGGCCTATAGGAAGAAAGGAGAGAAAAAGTGGGCAAAGATAAAAACTTGTAGAAGAATTGAGAGGTGCGAGATTCCCCAGACAGACATAGAGGAAGGAACAGTGCCAGGGCTGAGAGACTGGGAGGTAACAGGCCACAGGACAAACAGGGCTACAATAAATGAGTTAATTAATATATATAATACAGTTGGGAAGTAGCATAAGCTCAGGCCTGAGCAAGTAGTTTTGACTTGCATTTCTCTAATGGCTAGGGATGATAAACATTTAAGTTTCTTGGCCATTAAAGATTCCTCTGCTGAAAATTATCTGTTTAGATCTGTACCCCATTTTAAAAATTGGATTATTTGGTTTGTTAATATCCAGCTTCTTGAGTTCTTTATTGTGTTGGATATGAGCCCTTTGTCAGATGTGGAGGTGGTGAAGGTCTTTTCTCATTCCGTAGGTTGTCATTTTGCCATGTTGATGCTGTCCTTTGCCTTAAGGAAGCTTTTACGTCTCATAAGATGCCATTTATTGGTTCTTGTTCTTTGTGCCTGTGCTATTGGTGCACTGTTCAGGAAGTTGTCTTCTGTGACAATTCATTCAAGACTATTCCTCATTTTCTCTTCTATTAGGTTCAGCGTATCTGGTTTTACTTTTAGGTCTTTGATCCGCTTACATGAGTTTTGTGCAGGGTTATAGTAATTCAAGGTACTGAACAGTTTTGACTTTCAAACTTTTCTCTAAAACTTCATAAGACAGACTGTGAGAACACGGCCAAAGGAAAGACACATAGTGAACAATGCCTTAGGGCATGGTGGGAGAAACTCCAGGAAAAAAGGTAGAAGGCCTTTTACCTCAGGTGTATTTTATTCCCTGGATTGTTCTTGGATGTGATTCTGTGCCTCTTGTAATAAACATTTACAGTCAATGATAAGACATGTTCATCCTTGTTGGGTGTCAGAACATAGCTATAGAACACAATCTGGTCAGTGTTCTGAATCTGAAAATGGCCATTTGTTTTGCCTTTGTGCTTCCTTATATATAATCTATAGTATGTGCTGGCAATTGTGTTAAAACTGGTCTGTCCTGAAAAGGTTTTGGGAAAATGTTGTTCTGTTAATAATTACCATGTGCTTACTGATGTCCATTTACATGTTTTTTGACCATGCCTTTCTAAACTCAAACTGAAATAAAGTTGTCTACAGCATTAGATGGTAATACACATCATTGTGTCAAGTCCTCAGATCCAAGGTCTAGCAGACATGATCTGCACAGGTCAGCTGAAAATCGACAGCATACCTCCATAATTTGCCTGGATCTTAAGGATGCATGGATCTTATCTTTCATGTTCCCATAACAGCCCATAAAATCAATAGATTGTCTAGTTGAAAGTACTAAACTCCTCCCACAATTCTCCTGAAAACAACCTGGTCTATTTTGTCACAATAATATCTCATGAACCTAGTAGCAATTTCTATCACTGTGGTAAATGCCATGACCAAAAGCAACATTGGGAAGAAAGCATTTATTTCCTCTTAAAATTCTCCGGTCATACTCCATACTAACAGAAGTCAGAGCAGGAACTCAGAGCAGGAAGCTGAAGGCAGGAACTAAAGCAGAGGCTATGGAAGAATGCTTCTTGCTAGCTTGTTCCTCATATCTTGCTCAGCTATTTTTCTTATACCACTCAAGACCACCTTCCCAGGTGTGGCTTGTTTCCAGGTGGCTGGATCCTCCTACATTAATCAGTAATCAAGAAAATGTCATACAGTTATATACAAGCCAATTTTATAAAAAATATTTTCAGTTAGGACTCCTTCTTTCCACATGTGTCTAGGTTTGTGTCAGGTTGACAAAAAACAGCCAACACAGGGTTTTATACAAATTAATCAGTCATTGAAGCAAAGCAACAACTCACAGAATGGGAGAAAATATTTACCAGCTCTTCATTTGTTGTAAAATTAATATCATTGATATATAAAGGACTAAAAGATAATCTAACCTATAAGCAATCTAATCCAATAAGTAAAGAATTTGCCTAGCCATTCCTCAAAAGAAAAAATATAAGTAGTTAGTAAATATAGAAACAGTTTCAAATTTTGTCTTATGGGAGCTAAAAACCAAGCTACAATGAGAATCTATTTAATCCTACCTAGAGTAGCTATTATTAAGTTGCTAATGAAAATGTAGAAAAAAGGCAATGATTATCCTGTACTGGTGGAAATGTATATTTATAATAAAGGCACTATGAAAAGCAGAACAGAAATTCTCCCCAAACCAAAAGTATCCCTGTCATAAGATCTACTTCTTCCAGTCTTGCATGTACGTCTAAAATAGGTAAGTCAACATTAAAAAGAATTACATGCATATTCATGTTTATTGTGGTACTATTCAGAATACTCAAAATATAGAATCATCCTAAAAAACCATCAACAAATGAAGGTATAAAGAAACTTAATATCTATATACAATGAAGTATCGGTAACCTGTAATAGAGAAGGAAATCCTGTCATCTGAAGAAAAATATATGGAATTGGAGGGCACCATGTTGAACAAAATAAGCCAGACACAAACTCAAGAAGTACGAGCTTTCTGTTATATGTAGAAATACACAAAACACAATATGGGAAGTAGGACATAAAGGATGCTGAAGGGGACTGAGGGAAGAATGGTGAGAAAGGACAGAAACGAGGGCTGATATCCTTTATGCACAATACATACCTGTACTGAAATGTCACAGTTAAACTCATTAATGAATACAATTAATGTGTTTTAAAATGGTGATAATATAAAGAGAATTTGTAGAGAATGAGCTAGGTCCATGGCTCTTATTATGATCTTAATCCCATTCATAAGAACAGTATACTCATGGTGTAATCAGCACCTTCTATCTCCATGGTCAAATGATTTACTCATTGATAATGGATATGTAGCACTGAAGATAACATTACTTTATGCTACTAGATGGGAAAAACATCCATAGCTTAAAGCTTTTGTGTTAAGCTTCTTCCTGTGGGAGGAGCTTCCACTTCACTGAAGGATCTAGTTCCTCCTCAAAAACATCCAGCTCCTGCTCCTTGGAGAGCTCCAGGAAGACCTGGGAGAATGAGAGAGAGATCACATTGCTTTTCTTTTTCATGTGCTATCATTTCAGGTAATGGCCAACTTTATTCAGAACATCAAACAGTTTCTACTCTGATGCCTGGAAGAGTAAGTGTACAATCACAAGGGCAAGATGCATGTGGTTGGCTAGCTGCATGTGGCAGAAAAAAAAACTTGATTTTTTCTGTAGAGGCACATAGACAAATAACAGTAGCCAATTTAATGAGTAATCTGAAGTACGTTCACTCCTATCTGCCACAACAGGGAAGGAGCATGAAAACACATCCCAAGAACAACAACTCCATGGTTTTGAAGAAACTTAGGTCCCAAGGCTCTCCTCTTGTCTGAATCCAAAGGGCACGTGTTTAATCTTTGTGAACGGAACCCTGAAGTTGACCCACCTGTTCCAGGGTGGACTGTGAGAGGCTGTACTCCTCCAGGTCAAAGCTCTGTTTAACTGCAGAAGAATAACCATGAGTCAGGACTCCAGGATGTTAAGTCTTGTATATTTACTGAGTTGTCACTGATCACAAAGAGCAGCAAAGAGATAACCTCAAAGGTTATCTAACAAGGACGTGTGCAGGGCTATTTTTAGTAAAAAAACAAAACAAAAAACAAAATAGAGGAAATGTGACAGCAATGTTAATCTTAAGAATAGCGTGAAGGATCCCATGTTCCAGAAAGTTTAGGTGCTGAATTTAGACAATGGAAAGAAGATGAATCAAGACATTTTTGGATGTAGACAGCAGAAGCCAGAAGATATCTATGGAACAGGAGGGCAGGCGACATGCAAGTGAAAATGTCATTGAACAGTACAAGCAAAGAGCACCTGCAATAAGTAAGACAAACAGACAGTTAAAGCCAAAAGGTGGACAACACAGCACTCTGCCAAAAGGGTGCATACAGGGCGTTTGAACTGACATTGAAGCCCACCAGTGAATGAAGGATTATTCAGATTTACAGTGAAATTTATAGGTTATAATTGGCTTGAGCCAGTAAGTACAATTTACTTTAAATTTATACACCTTCAATATGATCACTAAAGTGAAATATATTTTAGAGCTAAAATAATGTAACCTTCAAAGTATAATGAGTTTTGTCTTATTTTTGTACTTTCTTATGTGCAAAGTAAAAAAAAAAAAAAAAAAAAAAAAGTAAAAGTAAAACCAACAATCCTTGCCATGAGCATGCGCGCACAGAAGTACCTTACCTCTTTTGTTTTCTCCTGCATCTCAAAACGAACTTTGAAGGTTCATGATCAACACAGAATGCTCTAATTCTATTTCTCACCACTGTGGGCTCTGCAATTACTTGTTCTCAGAGTCTCATCTCTAGCTAGACTCTTACCAGTCTCTAATTTGAAGAAGGCTTGGGATAAAGGTTGCACGTCTTCCCTGGGCAGTTTGTAGACCATCAGAGAAGAGTATCTGGGAAGAAAGAAAGGCTACGTTGGTGTCTAAGTGTGTAGGTCAATGTCTATGGCATCCTCTACGTTTCTTTTTATAAATAACACGTGAATAAATAATACGTGAATCTCTGAAAGTGTGCTCACTCAGGCAGGCCAGGTGACAAGAAGGAAAGTAGGAAAAGAAAAATAAGAAAAATAATGGGTTCAGTATCTAAGGCTCCTTGGAGGGACTCATGTAGGGCCAGTCTAAGCAACATTTAGAGACTGGTCTTTTCCACCCAGTCTCAATCGGGAACTTAGGCTTCTTACACTTCCTCACAGCTTCCTAGAATTTCCAAACTGGGGAGGAATCTACCTATTCAGTACAGAGTCCACATTCAGGCACTTCCTCCTTCAACTCTCAATGCTATTCTCATGCAAAGGGGATTCTGAGAGCAAATCCTGAGGAAATGAAACCCAAGTTTTCTTCAGAAGGCCCAGAGTTTATCAGTTGCTGCCCAGGTACACATTTGACTACCTATTGTCGGCACATAATCGGAACAGATTGGTTTCATCTCAAAGGATTTATTTTCTTTCACTTATTTCACCAATAGCGTTTATTGATCATGCCTTTGAGATAGTTTATATAGAATTTGGGCTTTTGTAAACAAGGAATAAAAATCTTACACTCTTGTCCTGTCATCAGCCAACTCTGTCATTATGACCTCACTTGTGCTTGTATGAAGCTGCTCCTATTCTCTTTAGGTGTTGGATGGACCAACACATCTGGAGCAGGAACAGGAATTATGAAAGCACAGGACAAGTGTGGGAGGGGTACCTGTGAGCATGCTCAGATTGCCATCACTGCAAAGCAGAGTCTCCTCACTGATAAGTAGGGAAGTGACAACTCCAACTCTCACCCGAGAATGTTGATTTGCTTAAAACAGTACCTACTGTCTTAAAGATCAGAATGACAAGTGGATAACTCAAGACCAGGACAGAACCTGCCACAGGAGTCACACACATGTGACCTCAGATTCACCAGCATCCCTCTGTTCTCTAGTATGCTTCTAATAGTACCCACAATTCAGTGATCTCTTCGAGATCTTCTTACAGTGTAAACATGGCCTACAATGTCTACCAAGCTAAACAAACTTCAGGGGAGAGTGGATGTACTTTGCCAGATCAAAAACAGGAACTGTGGACTGGGGAGATGACTCAGCCAGGAAAAGTGCCTGCCATGTAAGGGTGAAGACTTAAGTTCATAAGTTCAGAACTCACAAAAACTGGATGTGGCTAAGCGTGTCTGTAATTCCAGCACTGGTTGGGGAGGTAGGAGAGAGATGGACAGAAACAAGCTTATCCCCAGAGCAGCCAGTGTAGCCAAATATTGAACTCAGGCTCAGTCAAAGATACTGTGACATTGTCTCAAACAATGATAGAGAATGATACCAGAAGGCAAGGGACACTGACTTCTGGCCTAAGGTGTGTGTGTGTGTGTGTGTGTGTGTGTGTGTGTGTGTGTGTGTCTGTCTGTCTACACACACACACACACACACACCAGAAACTGTGTTTACCTTTCCTGCCGAGCAGCCTGGGGGAAAAGCCTCATGATCTCCGTGTTGAGGAGCTCCACCTGCAAAGGGTTCTTCACCTTCATCTCCAGCAGATATTCTTTGCCAAATTTGCTCTTCAGGTGTTGGATGGACCCAATACATCTGGAGCAGAAATAGGAATTACAAAGCCTCAAGACAAATGTGGGAAGGGGCCCTATGAGCATGCTCAGATTGCCACTCTGTCACCACAAACAAATCAGCGTCTCCTCGCTGTTAACTAGGGAATTGGCAACTCCAACTCTCACCCGCGAATGTTGATTTGCTTAAAAGCAAATGTGTTTCCCCTGATAATCACAGTGATGGGGTGGGATGGAAACAGGCACCTACCTCAGCCTTCCAGACACCATGATGGCCACGCGGTCACACACAGCCTCAGCCTCTGCCATGTAATGTGTGGTCAGGAGGGCACCCCTCTCTGTGTTTGTAAAGATGGCTTGGATAGCCTGCCTATTAAGGTCAAGAGAAGAACTGCAATGAATAGAAGTCCTCTGTGTTCCAGGGTATTTGATCACACGGTGAAACGTGATTGCTTCTGGGATGTCTACAGAGGAGGAAGGTCAACTGGATACTTTCTCCGACTCTCTGAGCTAGAGAGTCCAGCCTCTGGCTCCCAAGTCTTTATTGGTAAAATCGAATGATTGAGGTTTTTGTTAAAAAAAACAAAACAAAACTGATTTTTCTGGGCATTATAAAGAGTACTAAGCAAGTTGGAGTCACGGGGAAAGAGAACTCTCAAGTGAGTTTCTAAAGAAACTCTGGTGATGCGTCAGGGGCTGTCCTGAGAAAACAGGTAGTAGAAAGATGCTTGAAAGAAAACATTCTGAGTAGAAAGGAACTGCTTATGAGACCAATCAAGGATTGAAATCTCTGAAGCTTATTTTTCCTTCAATGACCTTTGTTGTAAACCATCAGGAAATGTTTGTTTTCTCCCAAAATACTGTTTCTTAGGGATATGGGTGATGTTGGCCACATTTTTGCTTGTCTAACAATATTGATGAAATCATGAACTCCCCACCACCTGTGGCGCAGCCTGGATGGCAGCAGCTCCTCACCACATTTGCTGCTGCCCCTCAGGGTCCATCCCGGTCGAAGGCTCATCCAGAAGCACCACAGACGGGTTCCCCAGGATGCTCAGCACGAAGCAGAGCTGCAACAAGAGGGATGGGTCATGTGGCACCAGCCTGGTGTGTGCTTAGGGCCGCAGCGAGCCCTTCCCCACCTTTCTCTTCACTCCCTCAGACAGGGTCTTCACAGGAGACTTCAGCTGGTCCTGCAGCTTGAGCGCATCCGCCAACCTGAAGAGAGACAGTGGAGTGTCACCGTCTGCTCCATGTGAAGGGAGATGATGGGAGGATGGGGCAGTGGGCCTGGCCAAGATGAAGAAGTAGGGCCCAAGCAGGCAGCTCAAGAAATATGCTGACACATTAAACAGGGTCAATTGGATAAAGGCTGTGATTCCCCACCCCCAACCGAAAGAGATAGACTTACCTCTTTTAATACAGTCTGTACAATGTTCAAATACTTTTGAAATTTAGTTTATACTTAACTGTTAAGGAAACTCAATCATTTACCGTTGAATACTAACTATTTCCCCTCCATCCTTAAAATGAAAAAGTGAAGAAACTGCGGGAAGTTTCCTGCAGCTCACCTAGTTAAGCAATAGGACCTCCTATCCCACATTTTCTGTGAATGTGGCCACCTCCAGCCTTCTTCCCATCACCTGGGTCCAGAAGCAAACAGATGCAGACCCCTGCGTACCTCGCAATGGCCACTGTGGCATCACTTTTGTTCATCCCCTTTATGGCAGCAAACAGCTCCAGGTGTTCCCTCACCGTCAGGTTGGACCACAGAGCATTCTCCTGAGGACAGTACCCCAGGAACCCCAGGGTGTCCCCTCTGCTGTTCCCTTTCAGCAACACCTACAAATAAAAGGTCGCTGTCAGGGCTCAAACTCTGTGCTGTTCCCCAAATTATGAAGCATTCATCCAGAGAGTGAATAGACAAACTCAAGTGTGTGCAAAGATGTCCTGTTATCTTATACCAGAGAATGACCCACAGGAAAAAATGCAAATAAAAACCAAGGTGAGAAGCTGGAGAAATGGCTCGGCAAAGTGCTTGCTGTATATGCATCAGGACCCAAATCCTGTCACCAACATCCACATTACAGGTGTAGTGTACAAGTACAGTGTAATCCCAAAGCTGTGTAGACAGTGACAGAAAGACCCCTGGGACTTGATGACCAGCTGATCTCTGCCCATAAGTAAACCCAAATTTACTGGAAGACAGTTTCAGGTGGCTGAAGATCAAGAGGTTGATCTGACATCAACCTCTTGGCTAGACCTGAATGCGCACATGTGCCCATATATGAATATGTACACACACACACACACACACACACACACACACACAACAATGAGATATCACTTTGCATTAGTTAGTTAGGCTACTGTCAAAAAGAGGGAAGTTAAGGTGATGAGGGTGGAGAGAAAATAGAACTATTGTGCTCAGTTGATGCAAATGCTTATTAGTATAATCAGTTATGGAAAATGGTGTGTTGTCTCCTTGGGGAGAGGGAGGGGACATGGCTGAGGTATGATCTGGAAAGCCTAATTCCTGGTATGTTTCTAAAGGGATTGAAAGGTGTGGGGTTTTTTTTTTCTTTTCTTTTCTTTCCTTTTATTTTCTTTCTTTCTTTTTTAACCAAGATGACACTTTCAGCTCTGTGTTGCTTATTGCACTATTTGCAATAGAGAAGATGAAATCAACCAAATATCCACTAAAGGATGAGTGGATTTTTAGATGTGGTAGTATAGAAACAACACGATACTATTCAGCCTTTAAGATGTGAGGGCCTCCTTTTGTCTGTGACAACACAAATGGACCTAGAAAATATGTTCTGCTTTGCTTTCTCTTGCTGTGATAGAACTCTGACTAAAGGAAGAAAGGGTTTATTTGGGCTTGTGCTTCCAGACCATAGTCCATTCTTGAGGGAAGTCAAGGCAGGAACTCAATATGGGAACCTGGAGGCAGTAACTGGAGCAGAAACCATGGAGGAGTGCTGCTTACTGGCTTATTTTTCCCTTGCTTGTCTGTTATGTTTCTTATATAGCCCAGACCCACCTGCCCAAATGTGGTATTGCCCATGGTGGTCTGGGCTTTCTTCATCAATTAGCAATCAAGAAAATGCTCTACAGATGTACCCATGGTACAAGCTGATGGTTGCAATTCTCGGTTGAGATTTCCTCTTCTCTCGTATGTCTGGGTCTGTGTCAAGTTGACAAAAAACTAAACTATGACAATGTGGCATGTAAAATAAAGCAGGCACAGAAGACAGACACTTCCTGACTTCATTACTATGCACATGCCTCATTTAAATAAGTTGAACTTGCAGCAATAGAAAGTAGAGTGAAGCCAGGTTCTGTGGCGCATGCCTGTAATCCCAGAATTTGGGTAGGCAGAGGCAGGCAGATCTCTCTGAATTTAAGGCCGTCCTGGTCTACAAATACCCAAGGGTACACAGAGAAACCCTTACTCAGAAAAGCAAAAAAAGAAAGAAAAGAAAAGAAAAGAAAAGAGAAAAGGAAAGGAAAGGAAAAGAAAAGAAAAGGAAACAAAAGAAAAGAAAAGAAAAGAAAGACAGGGCTGGAGAAAATGGCTCAGCTGTTAAAGAGTAGGCTCACGACCAAAAGTAAGAAGTAAGTAGAATGATGGACTCCAGGGATTGAAAGAAAGGGCGTAAAGAGAAGGGGAAGATGTTGATCCAAATCAGCAGTTTCATTTATACAGGCCAAGTGGGCTCTAGTATTTACTACACAGAATAATGACTATAACAAGCACACAGTACAAACGTGATGTGATTGAATCATTCCCCTTGTAAGCATATCAGAACATCTGCACCGTACAACATGAAGATGTTCAAATGTAATGTCATTTAAAAGTTTTTAAAGGTCAATATTTTAAACTTAGTGTGTGTATGCTTGTTTGAGTGTGTGTGAGTGTGGACACATGAATGCCACAGTGTGTGTAAAGATAAAAGCATCACCTCAAGTATTAGCCCTAACCCTCCACCTCATCCAAGATAAGGCCTCTTGTTTGCCACTTTGTACTCCAGGATAGCTGACCTGTGAGCTTTCAAGCATTCTTCTTTCTGCCTTCCATTCTGTAGTATGAACACTGGGATTACACTCTATAGAGCCCAGCTACATGGGTGTTCTGGGTACACAGACTCAAGGTCCTCATGCTGTGTGGCAAGTACTTTACCCACTGAGCCATCTCTCATGCCCTAATAATTTTTATTTATTTGTAAGCGTGTGTGTGTGTGCGCGCACATTTGTTAGTTAGCCAGACGACAATCTAGAGTATCATTCTTAATCACTGTCCACACTGTCTTTGCTTTGTTTGTGTTACATGTGCTTGTGTGTACTGTATGTATGTTTTCATGTGTGTGTGTGCTTGTGGAGGCCAGTCAGTGTTGGGTGACTTCCTCAATTGCTCTTCAACTGTTTGTTTGTTTGTTTGTTTGTAGCAAGATCACTCACTGAGCCTGGGATCATTGATTCAGCTTGGCTCTTTAGACAGTGAGCTCAAGAGACCCATCAGTCTCTTCCTTCCCATTGATAGGATGACTGATGCTCACTGCCATGCTCAGCCCCTTGTGTGAGTACTGGGACCTGAACCCAGGTCCTCATATTTGCACAGCAAGCCCTTTGCTACCTGAGCTCTCTTTTGAAACCCTACTTTATTTTTTAAGACAGGGTCTCTCATTGATCTGGAGTTCACCAAATAGGCAAGGTAAGCTGGCTAGCAAGTCCCAGGGATGTGCCAGGCTTTCCCCCTAGCTAATTATGTTTTGAAAATAAAAAGACAAATGAAACTGTATCAGACTTATTGCATCTTAGCATCATGGCTGAGGTCTCAAGATGTTTTTACATCATAACAAAGTACCTTAACGTAATTGTACAACATGGCAACTTTATTTTGATGTAGTCATGCCTTAAGCTTTATTGTGATAGTTGTTATTTGACCATTCTGTTTCTGAGACCAGCGACAAGTTGGCAAACAATGAAGCTTTATACGCATGCTTTTCTACCCCTGCTACTCCAAGACATGCCTTACTGAATCTGTACAGATTTTAGTCTGATTGTGTACGTTCTGAAGTTTGTGAATTGGTAATAGCTGTTCATGAGAATGAGTAAATAAGAGATTTTGGTTTAAACATTTCTATTCAAGATGGAGCCGTAGCAAGCATGCTCAAATTATAAGGGTTATTTAAGGTATCATTAATGGATTGTGTGGTCCAATAAACAGAATTTGTCAATATTTTCATAATGATTACTATGATGAATAGCATTTTTTCTCTGTACACTCATGGGGAAAAGGGCAGTTTAAAAGCATTCCTGGATGCCTTCTGAGAATCTGTGTTTATAGTCAGAGATCAGCGCTACTCTCAGCCTTAGTAGTGGAAGGAGATTCACAACTGGTGCCGGCACTAAGGGATTGTTAAGTGCTCAGACTTAAATGGAATATCCGTGTCACCCCCCTCCAAGGCTCAGGGGACATAGAAAAACAAGAAGCAAAAGTAATGTACACGTCATAGGATGGAGCAGAGTGCCGTGAACTCCTGAATATGGTGCGGGCTTTGCACTCATGACCTCATGGGCGCTGCAGCTGCAGCTTCACAAGACCTACATACGATTGGACCAGTCAACGTCTCATCATGGATGGCAGGGAAGCTCAGGACGTCCGAGGGACGACTGGCAGTTAAAAGTAGTTAGGAAGGTCTATCAGTTTCCTCGGTGGCGTATGGCACCGCCATATCCGCTGGGATCGGCGAGAGTCATGAAGCCAGCACAGCTGCCTGACACAGTTCCAGCAAGGCCGAGAGGATTGCTACAATCCTTGTTCTTCTATCTGTAACTTTGGGGGCTTGGTTTCTGCAAGTTGTGTTATAGGAGACTTGTGCATTATGATTCCATTTATGTCTATTCCTGGGGAAATTTATGTCTCAGTGTTTTTAGGAAAATCCTAAAATTAACTTCATCTGGCCATTATTTGGAAGTTTTCCTTATGCCCTGGAAATCATCAAGAACAGATAAGCACAGAGCTAGATGAGACCATTACTCCGGGAATCTTCTTGGAGTTTCTGCACCTGAACTAACTCAAACAGCATAATTGGTGCAGGGTAAACAGAGACAATTGGCAAACCTTGACTGGCCAGAAGACTAGGTTACAGACTCAAGGTCTCTTTTGATTATAGGCTTAGAGGTCTCTAAACGTACAGTTTAAAGATGGGGGTCAAACAGGGAACACTCCTGAAGGAATAAAACTCAGCAAATAAGATAGAGTGACAAAAATAAACTTTTTCTACTTTATAGCATAGATGATAATAGTAAAAGAAGTTAGGTATTAATATTTGCTACCCATAAAAAGACCGATTCAGATATTTTCTGTTTATCTAAAAAGCTTTCAAACAGCAAACACTGCCAGCCTAGGAGCAGGCTGTCATTTATTTACTTTTGAGGAGACTTTTTTTTTTCAGATTCTTTAAATTGGAGTTATACAGCTGACAATAATAATAGAATCTGTTCTGTTCATATTCCCTAATTGTAACCAAACTTATAACCCTGGACATGCAATGGAAAACCAAATACATACTCTGTACCACTTGGATAATTATTAGTCATCTTTGTTCTGTGAAACTTGTATAAATAAAGAAGCACCTGGTTGCTAGTAAGTCAGAGCCACAGGAATGGCCTGACTGCTAGAAAGTCAAAGCAGCTAAATTCCCCTGACCATGACTTGACTCACTCCCTAGACGCCTTGTCTCCTTATCTCCTCAGTGGCTGCCCTGTGAGGGGTGGCAGAGGCCACTGATGGCTGCTCCTGCTCCAGTAAATAATCCCTAGCCCATGCAAATGCAAGCATCCCTAAGAGAATTTAATGGGTCACAAAAAGACTATAAAGTAGGAGGAAAACTTTTGGGAAATAAAAAGGGTCTCAATGTGGGGGTGCGGACAGGAAAAAATAACCAGTACTGGATATAATAAAAATTCATTACATAAACAGATGAAATTATCAAAAAAAATTGAAAGCATCTCCATTGGGTAATTATTAGTATCTGCATCACTTAAAGTGAGAATTTGTTTCTAATTCAGTATAATATTATTAAAACCTTTAATAATAACGTTTTTCAAGTTGTCGTCTGGGGGTTGTTGGGGTTATCTCTCATCTACCTACCTGTCCAGCACTTGGATTTGTTTCTCCAGTTATCATCTTAATGGATGTGCTTTTACCAGCTCCATTGTGTCCCAATAATCCCACAACCTCACCTGAGAAAAAGAAGACACATTCGTAACGATGGTGACTATTGCAAGTCTCACTGTATGATAAGTGCTATGTTATGGGCCTTAAATACAATTTTATATTTTAATTGTCGTGTTTGGTGAAAGGCCCTGAATGAAACAGGTGTAAAAGAATCATGAGGGGCTGGAGAGATGGCTCAGCAATTGAGGGAGCTCTTATAGAGGACCTAAGCTTGGTTCTTAGTAGCCATAGCAGGCTTCTTATAACCTCTTAAACTCCACCTCCAGGGGCTCTGGTACTCATGTTCAGACATAATGAAAGACTACGTATTACAAACCCTTAGAAAACATCCTACTTCTTTTTTTATTTTTCTTTTTCAAACATCATATTTCGTGGGGAAAACTAAAAACCTGGTTCTAATATCAAGAAAAGGATTGGGTGTCCACTTTTATCACCCTTCTTCCATATAGTACTAAAAATTTCAGCCACAGCAATTATACAATCAAATCATCCCTGTTTGCCAATAATATGATTCTACACATAGGAATTCGTTTTTAAGATCCATATCAAGATGAGAGTAGCAAGATTGGAAATCAGCATACAAAATAGGTAGCTTTTCCTTTCACTTCAAATTTATTTTATTTTATTTGAATGAGTGTGTGGCCTTCACTTATTCCTGTGCATCACATGAGCGCTCGGTTCCAGCAGAGGTCAGAAGAGGGTGTCAGATGCCCCAGAACTGGAATTACTGACGGCCATGAGCTGCCATGTGGGCGCTGGCACCCAAATGCAGACCCTTTGCAAGGGCGACAGGCCTTAAACGCTGAACCGCCTCTCTAGCGCCAGGAGACACCAATATACATCAATATGAACACACCGAGGAAGAACCCCGTTCTCAACAAGTACAAAGATACATGGCAATAAGTCTAAGCGGGTGAAAAAGAAATTCTCTGTCCACGTTGTGTAAGGATGAAACAAGGAGTCTGGAGGTAAACTACCAAAGTGACCATAGAGATGGTCTCATGTTAGTGGTTAGCTACATCCTTCCAAAAGATGTCATTTCTCAGAAGAGGAGAGTGAAGGTGTGGGGTTGGGGGATTGCGGCACAAGTGGGGAGTGCCAATCAGAATGGCCTTGGACTCCTCAGTCATGCTTTTTGAATTGTAGTGCAGAGTGAGTGATGAGAGAGGATGAGGTCTCGCCGTCAAAGACTTGCAGGCTGAGCTTTGAGCGTGTCTCAGTCTGGAAAGCATATGCCTCATATTTTGATTTAATTTTGAAATGGAACCAGCCTTCACCTATGAGAGTGAGTACAGTGTCTGTGTTTCAGAGTGGCATTTATCCATGGAGGGACTCTCTAAAATGTAATCTATCTCATTTTTCTTAGGTTACATATTTTTTAAAATTTTTATTTTAAAAACAGTATATCCCTAGAGTTTTAATAATGTCAGTAGGAGTTGAAGACATGACATCATTGCTGTAAACAAGGAAAGAAAGTATAAAATTCAGACCTGCAAAATAGAAAGAAAGAAAGTTAAAGAATAACAGAGAAGGAAAAGAAGATACTGAAAAATGAAACAAACAATGAAGTGAAAACTGAAGAGGGGCTACCAGATACTGGACAGATGCTGGACACAGTGCAGAGTGGAAGGTCAGGGAGAAGTTGGGTGGCTGGACATGGTCGGTATACCTCATTTGCGTGCGTGGGGATGTCGGGACAAGTTCCACTAATTTGTACAGTTAATATGTATTATATATTTATATATATATAACGGTAGGGGGTGGGGTGATGACTGTGAAGACACTGAAAAGAGATGGAAATACTTGGCCGGAGTCAGAGGATGAGGAGTGACTAGGTCATACAGTGTCAGATGGAGGAGGTGCTGGGGGGTGGGGGGAGACACAGAAGTTGGCAAATAGGCTCCTCTTACCCTGTGGCCAAGATATCAGGTTGGAATAGCAGATTCTAGGTCAGTCCCCTGGTAAACAGTATTGATTGTTAGAAGAGCGACAGCACCGAGAGAACAGGAAAAATGTATTCTAAGTTTTCAATTTTGTTGTCATTCAACAACGACAACAAAAGCCTGTGATTTTCATGTCAGTGTGACTGTGCCCCTTACTCAAAGGAAAAATCATTCCCATCAAAGAAGAAACAGTGAAGGCCACTGTGCTGTGGAGAGAAGAAACAGAACAGCCTGGTAGCATGCAGACCCAGGAGAACAGGGACTCTATAGAGTTTGGAGGATGTTCCTGAGCCAGAACCCATGTCCAACCTTTTCGAACACAGAAAGAGATATTTCTCGTTGCTATCTTCTTCTTGCCCTTAAAGATGAAGCATCTCTTCTTTCCCCTGTACTCCTTGCGGAGACAGCTGGCAATGATGGCTGGCTTCTGCAAACAAGTCAAGCAGGTGAGTGATAGTTGGAGGTGCAAATCTAAATGCAGCCTCTCAAAACCAACGTGCAGCCTTGGTGTTCCTAGTTATTCTTAGTCAGGACAGCTACAATCCATGTCATCTCACTGATGCCCAATAAACAGGTATTTTCTATTTCCCAGAACTTTCTTTGCACTAACACAGAAGTGCAGCAAGAAGTAATTTTCTTATGTTTTAGTAATATTTCAAGAAAATATTTTGAAACACATCTGCAAATTTTACCCAAAACCCATTAATTAAGAATTCAATAATGTTTCAAAATAATATGATTGCATTATTGTTTTACAGTTAAGGATGAATTGCTAGCCTTCAAAGACACTTGATTTCACACATTACTGGCTTTCTTTAGTTCACTGAAGAAAAAAAATCTAAAAAGTAAAATAAAATAATACAGAAACAAGTTTAATAAAGCCTCTCATTTGCCTTTTGATCTAAAGTGCTAATCCTTTCCTTATTGTTCTATACACTGCAGAACATCTTGAATATTATTTTGTGAGTAGGTAGTGAGTGTATCAGTTTGGGAATGTTGTTAGAGAAAAAAAAAAAAAACCCAAACCAAACAAATAAATAAATCATGGTCAAGAGACCAGAATCTCTGAACATTCCAGTTGGGCTAAGTCAATTGGTCAAGAGCTCACCCCTGGGAAGCTGGGTTCATCTTAAGCCATGCTACAGAGATAAGTGTAACATTTAGCTCTTTCATGAGATGCTGTCCTCCCCCTGACATCCCCAGAACCCTTACCTCTACAGGGCCTTACAGGCTGCAGCTGTGTGAGGGCCCTGCCTTATTTTCTGAGTTGTTCAGAAAAGTATAACTTCTCTTTTTATTCCTTCTATCTCTCTTCTAAGCATGCATTCCTTAACTTAACACTTTCGGCTTTCCTCCCAACACTTTTCCTTGCGCTTTCTCTAAAACCTTCTCCCTGCAATATGGAGGCTCATCCACCATGTGTCTGATCTCCAGGCAAGCGTAAAACGGCATGAGTTCTTCCTTCTTCCCTCCATTCTCCTTTTCTGCCTATGTGCTGTGTTTTTACAGTTTGCCTGCCCTTGGGTGTTTTCTTTTAAAACATGAAAAAAATTGTCTTTAAGTTTTTGTTTGGCCCCATCTTAAATTATTTTAGTGATGTGCCTGAGAACCCCGCTTCCACTGCATCAGAACTGTTCAGAGTGTAATTTTGACAAGGGAACCTAGTAGTTAAATGCAGTGTTTGAAAAAGCCCCAAAGGGTTACTGCTTCTTTTTTTATTACATTTTTATTTTTATATTAATTACAGTTTATTCACTTTGTATCCCAGCTTTAGCCTCTCCCTCATCCCCTCCCAGCCCCACCCTCCCTACCTCATCTGCTCCCATGACCCTCTTCAAGTCCACTGATAGGGAGGTCCTCCTCCCCTTCCATCTGACCCTAGCTTATCAGGTCTCATTAGAACTGGCTGCACTGTCTTCCTCTGTGGCCTGGCAAGGCTACTCACCCACTGGGGGAGGTGATCAAAGAGCCAGCCACTGAGTTCATGTCAGAGACGGTCCTTGTTCCACTTACTAGGGTACCCACTTGGATACTGAGCTGCCATGGGCTACATCTGAGCAGGGGTTCTAGGTTATCTCCATGAATGGTTCTTGTTTGGAGTATCAGTCTCATAAAAGACCCCTGGGTCCAGATATTTTGGTTCTGTTGCTCTCCTTGTGGAGCATCTGTCCTCTCCAGATCTTACTATCTCCCCCTTCTTTCCTAAGATTCCCTGCACTCTGCCCAAAGTTTGGTTATGAGTCTCAGCATCTGCTTTGGTACACTGTTGGGTAGAGTCTTTCAAAGGCCCTCTGTGGTAGGCTCCTGTCCTGTTCCCTGTTTTTTCCCTCCTCCAATATCCATCCCGTTTGTCTTTCTGAGTGAGGCTTAATCATCTTACCCCGGGTCCTCCTTCTTGCTTAGCTTCTTTATTTGAGTGTACAGATTTTGGTATGTTTATCCTATATTATATGTCTTATAACCCTTATTAGTGAGAGTTACTGCTTTTAATGCAAGAAATAAAAAAAAAACCCCACTGGGATAGCCTACAGGGTGTTTAATTATAGAACACTAAATAAAGAAACTTGCATAATATCTGAGAAACCCAGAAAGCGTGGGTTCTCCAACGACAGCTTCATGAAAGAACAGTAAAAGACATCACAGTGGTGGCTATTTCCAACAGTAAAAGATTTAGCTGCAAATTTGAAGACTGAACTCATATTTCAAATATATCACAAGACTTTTCCCTTTTAAAGGGATAGTCAAGACAGCTCTGTGACCTGGCTTACACTCATGTATTATCAGAGCTCATGGAACTGGCTTGACAAAAAAAAAAAAAAAAAAAAATCTAAGCATGAACAAAATAGTCAGACTGAATATCTTTCTACCTCACATTTTCAACCAGGACCAAGTGCAGTAATATTTTTACCAAGAACACAAATGTCCTGAAGATTAAGACTGCCGGTGTCTGAGCATGAGATCAAGTCAATGGCCAGTCACAGTGTGTTCAGGAAAAAGTGCTCATTTCTTTCAGGAGGCCCTGTGGAGCAGCTGAAGAGCTCCTCATTTTAAAGTGGAACGCTTGCACAGGCCTTAACTGCACACAGGTGAGACACTTCTGCAGCTACCTGCTTCACAACATTTACCTCATGGAAGTCCGCTGAAGTCAAGGCATTTGCTGTCCGTGCTCTTTCCTGACGCACATCTTCATCTTCCTCTTCTGGTTCTTCTGGATTGTTAAGTACACGACCTTTTCTTGAAGAAATTCTATGAACAAAGCAACCCATTAGTGGCTGATCCTTGGGGTCCATGGCTGTATCAAGATCAGTTTTATCCTCTACATTGGAGTAGACTGGATGAACAATAAATCTTTAGGACATCCATCTTTTGTGGGTAAATCCGTTTTCCTCCCACTCCAACAATTCCTGGTCAGAGTCACCAAGTGAATTGGTCATTGCTTCTTGGCTATAGTCAGTTCTCTTTATTATGGAGACATTGTTGTTGTTTTTTTAAACCTCAACAAACAGCTTTATATTCATAGTTTAGCAAATAAATTTAATATCAATCTTTATGGAATAAGCACTCTGGGAATAAAATAAACACAAATTATGGACATTGTCAAACTGTTTTTAGATTGATGGACCAGAATGCTCAGAATCACTTCTAGCTACGGGGATAGGCACAGCCCCTTCTTTGGGATGTGTCAGAGGAAACCTTACCTCTCCATTCCAGCTCACACTTTTATGACAAGACAATTACTTTTGGGTCTCTTCCTCCCTCCCTCCTTCCTTCCCTCTCTCCCTCCCTCCCTCCCTCCCTTCCTTCCTTCCTCCTCTCTTCCTCCCTTCCTTATGGCTGTCATAGGTGATGTGTCAAAGCTTAATTCTTCTATCCAACCTTCTAAAACAAAGATGGCACTTTGTTTTATGGGAATAGAATGGACAACCATTATATGGGAGTAGGGTGGCCAACAGAAGAGCTCTGAGACCCAAGATTTGTGGTGGCAAAACTGGTAGATCCCAGGCAAGCAGAAAATCTTTTTATGGGCTTGTTTGTTTTTACATTTGTTTAGTTTTGTTTAGTTTTGTGTGGGGGGAAAGAAATAACAGCTTTCAAGAGTTTGTTCTCTCCTTCCCCAAGAGTTTGTTCTATAGCACCTGGGGCTTGAACTCAGGTCGTCTGTCTTGATGGAAGGTGCTTTTTATCCATTCAGCTATCCCACTCTTGCACACAAGTGATGATTCCCAAATGTAGATGCCAAAAATGATCGAAGATCCCAAAGGACTAATATGTGTTCTTGAGTCTTGTATAGAACATACTTACTTTTAAGCTTCCTGGATACCTAATTCCATTTCTTTTTCTTTTATAGGTTGATAAAAAAAAAAAAAACATGCCTATGACATACTGGCTAGTCTTTATCTGCAAAAGTGTTACTGTTGCTTTTATAACCTTCTTCCCCTTTTAACTCTGTGGTTCTTTTTGGATTGACCGCATTCTTTCAGCTGTCCAGGGCCAAAAAAAAACTGTCATTGAAACTAAGCTTATTGTATGTGATGGTTCTCAGGGTTCCCTTGCACACCCTAACAGATGAAGTCCTGGATTTCCTATGTTTCTGGTGTGTTAGACCTGTCTTGATCATAGTACCACAACCGTCCTGTAGAACCAGAACCCATGTTCTGATCACTGTGTATATTTTTCTATAACTGTCTCTTCATCATAACCTAATGGACAAGGTTTCCATGAGAGTTTGTGTGTTGCCTTTATATAAAATCATTCAACAGGCAGAGTGCAGGGAGTCTTATGGCAGGAGGGAATAGAAGTACATGGAGGAGAGAGGAGATCCACAAAGATAACAACAAAGCTAAAAAATCTGAGTCTAAGGGGTCCTGCAGAGACTAATATACCAACCAAGGACAATGCATGGAGAGGACCTAGAGCCCCTGCTCAGATATAGCCCATAGGCATCTCAGTCTCCATTTAGACTCCCGAGTAAGGGGAGCCTCTGTCATGAATTCAGTTGCATGCCCTTTGATAACATTCCCCTGGCAATGCAACCTAGCCAGGCCACAGAGGAAGAGGATCCAGGCAGTCTTGATGAGACTTGATGAGCTAGGGGCAAATGGCAGGAGAGAAGAACGCCCCCTTTCAGTAGAGTAGGGGAAGGGAGTAGGGGGTAGAGGGACTGAAGGTGGGACTGGGAGGAGTTGAGGGAGGGGACTACAATAGGGATATACAATGAATAAATTGTAAAGAATTTAAAAAAAAATAAATAAATCATTCAACCAAAGAACATGAAACCATTTGATTCCCCCAAACCTAAAGACAGGATCCATTCTCATTGTTTTCATTCCAAACTTGCTTTCCAGGAATCGAAGAATAACTACGAAGATGGCAAAATGAAGAAAAGGCTAGGGAAAAGAGACATTTTCAATTAGAAATACCAAATGCTAATATCAGAAGTAAACTGCCAAACCTCAGCCCTGCACAGATATACAGGACAGAATGACTAACATGGCAAGAACTAGCCATTCATCTGCTTACAGAATAAGTCAAATTCAACATTTCATTGTCCAGAAACACTGCAAGGGCTTACCCTGCACTACATTGTATTATACATTGAACTTCACTTATAATTAGGTCATATCTTTATTTGCTGTGAGTGCGTTATATCTGTAGGTGTGTGTGGAGGTCAGAGGATAAAACCAGGTGTCTTTCGCAATCACTCCCCAGTTTATTAACTGAGCCTACATCTCCCACTTGAACCCAGACTTTGTTAGCTCTGCCAGTCTAGCTTGCCAGCCAGACTAGGTGACCCCTACCTCTCCTTTAGTGATGTCATGCCCACCCAGCATTTGAGTGAAAAATGGAGGTCTACACCCCAGTCCTGACTCTTTCATAGCAAGCATTTTATCCATTGAGCCATATCTCCAACCTCTACTATGTTTTTAGAATTGGAAGGTGCAATTTATTTTGTTACTGTACTGTTTGTAAAATAATAAAAAAGGCTCTTAGAAGCATATTTTACTTTCCTGAGACTTAGTTAATATAAAGCATCTTAATTTTCAGACTTTAGCTAAAGATGTCAATCCATGATAGAACATGTGTGACAGGTACAAATCCTGTGTTTGAAGACTTTTCCCCCAAAATATGATCAAGAAAGCGCCCTGGCATCATTTATTTCAGGGTCTCTCTGCGCGCAGTAACATTTAGACGGGAGGGATACTTACTACGACGAACAACAGAAAGGAATATTTCTTTTCTGGACCTAGATCCATCATTTCATCAAACTGACTCCTCTGCAAAAGGAAGAACAAAATAAATACGAAGTTCTGTAATTTATAGATTTTATGCAAACATGTTTGGGCTATTGGTCAACTCTACTAGTCTAATATTTCCCCAGGTTTCCCACGGGCACGAATGAAGCGCTAGTTGTGAAACATGTAGCGAGGGGCTGCTGTTCTTCTCATGGCCGGGGAGCCCTGCGGCTTTTCTCTGCATGGTTGATGTTTCATGGTCAGTTACTGAGAGAACCCAGGAACAGAGGGGACAGACTTTCTCCCAGAGTTTCCCCTCATGTACCCTCTGCCCTTTGGTGACGCTCCCCTCTTTCCCATGATCCTCCACTGGAAGATTAGAATGTCTAAGAAGTGAAGCAATAATAACTTTCAGGGAATAATCTGGTCTGTGGGTAAAGGGGGAATTTACTGCTGCTGTATCAGCGCTAGTTAGAGTGTATCAAATGCAAAAATGTAGCATCAGAATTGACACATATATTAGCACCTTAAAGCCTTGAGCATCAGGGACTAGGAGAGAATTTTATATGCACTGCTGTGGCTGAGAATGTCCACAGATTTTATTAGTGTCAATGTTTTTTTTTGTTTGTTTTGTTTTTTTGTTTTGTTTATTTTTGTACTGTCCACTACCCATGTCTGAAAGAAAGAAAAGCAAAGGCTAAATTTTCACTTGTAGGTAAAAGGGACTGTGGACTCCCCTCAGGCAAAAATCTTCATAGTTCAATTAAGAATGATCTATATTTTTCAGTCTTCAGCATATATATTTTGTAGCTCAAGACAAAAGTGGCCTTCTATTTTGAGGCACTTTCCCAAATGTCGCACACGCCTTACCTCAAAGTGTATTAATGTGCAGCCCGCCAGCGTAACAGGTGGAACGAAAGCAGTGAGACAAAACACTGCGAGATCTCGAAGGAACTCAATAAGCATAACCCCTGTAGAAAATAGAGTGGCCTAGAAGAAAATGAAATACATGTTTTTAGTTGCTTTCTAAAAGGCAATGCAAAGGCTAAGGTACAGCTCACCAGTGAAGAGCATGTGTTGCTTTTACAGAGGACCTGAGTTTAACTCCCTGCACCCATGTCAACCAGTTCACACCTCCCTGTAGCCAGCTCCAAGAAATACAAAACTTTTCTTCTGGCATCTTTCCTTGTGAACACACACACACACATGCAGACATGCACACAGACACACGCACACACACTCACAAATAAAAATAAATCTTAAAACGAAAAACTTAATTCATTTTTAATTTATTCTAATCTGATTTCCGTTTTCATAAACCATGTTAAGATTGACATCATCGCAAACATTTTTCCTAGACTTAGCTAAAAGCATTTGTCTCAACTCTAGAAATTCGACAAAGTTGGACAAATATAGGATCTGAAGCACAGATTAACGTTTCCTTGTCCAGGTTTAATTACAAAAATAAAATTGCTTTGATGTTGTCTAGGGAGCTAATAAATAAACTATAGGCAATAATCAAAGAAAATTAATTTAAAATCAAACAGAAGCAAAAATTTTAAGAGTTTTCTCTCAAATATAAGAGAAATATGTCATTAGTAGCATTGGAACCAAGAGAACGGACATCACCGGTGCAAACGACATCACGGCCTCATATTTTCCTATCTAAAGCATGGCAAAACTTTTCCAGAAGGTTCTGTGCTTCCCTTCAGTTCATTCTGATGTCAGAGCGCTGTTTCTAAAAATCGTCTCTGACTGTATCTTGAACCTTCTAGGTTTTCCCATGAGAAAACATGAACTCTTTCAGGATAACCGGTGGCCATGTCATGTAAGGTGGCCCATGATGCTAGCCACAATTTTCCTCTCAACTAGGTCCCTTCCTGTGCCCAGCTTTCTACTGAATGCAGGTTCTACTGTTTCATAGGACAAGCCTGGCTTTCTCCTCTTTTAGTTTTTTCACCTATTTGCCTTGTTTTCTAAAGAAGAAGAGCATATCTTTAGAAAAATGTGGTCACTGGGAAATCTTAGTTTTTACTTTCATGAATTTATCTCTGCTTTGTATATGCTTTGATGGTTTTTATTATCCAATCCTGTGGATCTATCTCTATATCTGATTTTGTTATTCTGTGTAATAATTTATATAACTTATTATAATTTTATTAATCTGTATAAAGTGAGAACGTGAGTAGTGTGTCAGATAGAGATACAAATTTGAGGCTGAAGTGTCAAGCCCTCCAGTGTCTCAAGTACAGAATACTGGGGGGGAAAGTCAGTTCTCATTCAACTCAATAGAAACAGAGACTATATGATCTGTACGTTTTTTTCCCTCAACAATCTCAAATTCTGGTGCACTGAGAAAAATCAAGTATTTGTTAGATAGTAATGTAATTGAGACATTAAAAAATTAATGTTAGAATAAATACACATAAGTTACATACATTCCCCTTCTAAGTTTAGAAAAAGATTTTAATATGTGATTCATAACAAGGAATTTCTTAATAATCAAATTTTAGTTTTAGATTTTTAAATTAACAGAATTTATAGTCTTCTGAAAATTTCATGACCTTTGACCTAAGTTAATTCTTTTTCCAAAAAGGAATTTCAAAACAATATCTAGGTTTGATTTATGATCCTACAACTAGTTCTGTTGCCTTTAAAGAGAGTGAGATGAAAATAGAGAAACCATTTTAGTGCATATTTTATACATATGGATACGTATCCCCATAACTATATCATAATTTTTTTTCAGAAAAATACATGTAAAATATTTTAAAGTATAATTGGTTTATCTTACAACAATTAAAAATATTTTTTGAGACAGGATTTCTCTGTGTTGCCTTGGCTGTCCTAGTCTTGCTTTGTAGACCAGGCTGGCCTCAAACTCAGAGATCTGGCTGCCTCTGCCTCCACAAGGGCTGGGATTATAGGCGTGCACCACTGTGCCCAGCCAACTAAAAAATATTTTAAAGTGTTAGTTCTTAACCTCACCATAAAATTAAAAAACAGTAAATATACTTACAATATAGAAGCAAAGTGACCAAATACCACTATTTTTCCTCCCCTTGCGATTAACGAATGAAATCACATAGGTCATAGAGCACATTGACATGGCGTAACCACCGACATAGAGAATCTGAAATCAGTAGGAACACGGGAATGAATGTTGTGACCCAAGAAAACCCTTGAATGTGCCAATGTCATGAAACAGCAGTTTTATGTTTCTTCGTCTATAGTGATTAAAATCTCACAGAAAGGGTAAAGTGGGCAGCCTGGCATTCTCACTTCTCAGCCGAAACACCATAAAACGCAAACAACCGGGAGAGGCAACTTCATCCGTTTTCCATAGGCAAAAGTTTACACAGAGTAACTGACGCAAAAGGCGGCAACTTTGAAATGATCAGAATGCCTTGATGTGTTCTGAATGCTCTTGGCCTACCACACCCCCCACTTGGGTTTTTGCTATCACTTAACTAGAGTTTTTGTTTTTGTTTTTTTTGGGGGGGGGCATGACAAAAATATGCAACCAGTGTTAATGAATCTCACAAGCAAAACAGTCAACGGGAGCCAGGCATGGTGGCACACATTTTCAGTCTTAGCACTCAAGGGGCTTTCCATGATTTCAAAGCCAGCTAAAATTACTAGGACCACATAATTAGACCCTGCCCACAAAGAGAGAGAGAGAGAGAGAGAGAGAGAGAGAGAGAGAGAGATAAGAAAGAAAGAAAGAAAGAAAGAAAGAAAGAAAGGAAAGAAAGGAAAGAAAGAAAGAAAGAAAGAAAGAAAGAAAGAAAGAAAGAAAGAA